ATTTTAAGTAAGATGATATACTAAAATTTGAAATCAAAGATTCGAAGTGGCTGAGTGTTAGTTTTCAACTCGGCCAAGAAATAAATGTAAAATCACGAAGAAAAATAGAGTTGTACAATAATGAGCTGATACATAGCATTTGTGACCAAAGCATAATAGTGTTTGAGTCTACGCAAGTATACATGTTCAAATTTCATGCCATCTAATATAAAATCATAACTTTCATATAATACAACTCGAAAGGTCGAATAGTCAGTATTATTCAGCCAACTTTTGAAAACTAATCTCATATTATTTTCTGGCATTGCTTTTAATTTTTTATTGAAATACATTATTTCTGTAATTGCGACATTCAGTTGTTAGATTGTCGTTATGTTTTTCTCCAGAGTTTGCAAAGATCTTCTTGTATAATTATGTTAATTGGTAGAGTATAACGAGAGATTGACTATTTTTCGTTGCTAAGTTGGTAACGTCTTCAAATCTTTGCAGTTTATTGAGAAGGTACTCTGATTTTTTACTCAATAAGTTATCATGGACTAAAGATAATCTATGGTGGATTCTAAGATTTTAGCCCTCCAAATCATTCAGTTGTTAGATTGTCGTTGTTTTTCTCCAGAGTTTGCAAAGATCTTCTTGTATAATTATGTTAATTGGTAGAGTATAACGAGAGATTGACTATTTTTCGTTGCTAAGTTGTTAACGTCTTCAAATCTTTGCAGTTTATTGAGAAGGTACTCTGATTTTTTACTCAATAAGTTATCATGGTCTAAAGATAGTCTATGGTGGATTCTAAGATTTTAGCCCTCCAAATCTTTTATGGATTGTTGGAAGCTGCATAGTATTGAACGATCACCTGCCTGTGTGTGTGACCGTTTGTGCCTAGTTACTATTACATACCCTACCACTTTTTGCGAAAAAGTTGTGGTATAAGTGACGTCGAAACTTGAAACACATCTAATAGACACTCATGCAAATCGTACGGTTTGCTTATCATACGAACCGTTTGACTTGCTTTCATTATAAACCTAAGATGGACGATAATTTATTAGCAGAAACACAGAAATCGAGCCGAGTCGTCAAAGAAATGGCTTTTAATGAATTCAGAGGTCTCGCATATCAATGAGCTAACGTTATAACCTGAAGATTGGTTCAAATACTTACGGGTGAGTGAAGGAACGTATTGCGAACTACAGAGAATTGCCACTCCATACATAGAGAAACTGGATACAAGTATGAGAAGAGTAAATACACCGCATAAACGTCTACAATACGCTGCTATTTTTACCAGAGACTTGCAACTCTATACGACAGTTTTAAAAAAGAATATTTAAATGTAGGTAGTAAATTTTATTAACAGTAAAAAAATTAAAAAGTAATTTGTAATTAACATTTCATGTCAGACTCTTATCTAGTCCACAAAGTGAATTCGCATCCGTTCGGAAAAATATTCTGATTTGTTTTTTGCATAATCTTATTCAAAAAGTAAAACTGTTTCAGTAATTTTTCTTGAGAAATTGCAAAAAATGGTTTTTAGCTCTAGAGTTTTTTAGGCTTTTTGGGCCATTCTGAACAAAAAAGGTTTTGATGAACTTTTTCCTACGGTTGAGGGTTTTCGACATATAGGCCATGTAATGTTATGAGGACCTTGCGCTTGATTAACAAATAAAAAACAAGAGTTAGCTATATCAAGTTTATTAATTTTTCTTTAGATTCCAATAATGGATGTCTGGAACATATTTATGAGCTTTGACAATAGTGAAACTTCCGTTTTTTAAGGAGTCGACGTTTTCAAATATTTCATTGCTTAAAACAATCAACTTGAGAGAAAAGTACATCAAGCCTTTTTTTGTTCAAAAATGACCAAAGGTATCTGAACAAAACTTTCCCTGGAGCTAAAGAACAATTTGTACAATTTACTTAAACAATTATTTTAGCAAGTTCTGCCACAGTTATGGACATGACAACATGGATATTCATTTAAATGGGCCTATTTTGAAAGAATAATACAGAATACCGAATTAGAATATTTTTTGAGTGGATGCGAAGATACTTCCTGGACTATAAGGATCCGGCATAAAATGTTGACTTTATATTATTTTTCATGTTTCATTAAAACTCTGTACGGCAGTTCGAAAATGAATATCTGAAGATACCTGGTAAACTTTATTGATAGTAGAAGAATATGAAATCAAATGAAAATAAAGAGTAATTTGTAGTTAGCATCTCAGACTCTTATAGTTTAGGAAGTATCTTCGCATCCGCTCGGAAAAGTATCCTGATTCATTTTTTTGCATAATCTTATTCAAAATGTAAAGCTATTGAAATATTGCTTTTTGCTCCAGAAGCTTTTGAGGTTCATTATGAACAAATACAGTCTTAATAGTCTAATCATATTAGACGAAAATACCCCTTGTTTGCGAAATAATTGTAAAGTCTGGTTTTATTGCTGCAAGTTGTTCAAGGGGGTATTCAAAACATGGACGCATAAAATGGGTACACCAATTTTTGTGGGAAAACTTTTTATTTGAGAACAAATAACGAGTAAACGTGTTTTTTGGGATTCAATCGAAAGTGTTGACAGGAACGAAAAAACTTTTCATATAAGATATTTAGGTATTTATGAGACCTACAAAATGAAGCCACACGTAAACATATCCGACTAATAGCAATAAAGTTATGGCCGAAAACCGAGGCAAACTGCAGGCTTTGGCACTGGTTGGTAATACGACGATGGTTTCTCGCAGATATTCGAAATTATTCGTAGATACTTCTAAATAACCACAAGAAAATTGGAGTAGATTGATCAAGCAGTTTTTGAGAATTTCTAATTGTTTATCCCAAAACACCTGTTTTCTGGCCATCACTGCTAGCTTATTGAGCAATGTACAAGGCTAGTTCAAACGGCGTTTTATAGTAAAATATACTAGTCCACCTTGCCGATATGAATCGCAAACCATTCCGGAAGATAAAGTTATTTTTGAACGAACCCTGTATATTGCTCAATAAACTAGTAGTGATGGCCGGAAAACAGGTGTTTTGGGATAAACAATTAGAAATTCGCAAAAAACTACTTGACCAATATAATCCAATTTTGTTCCTGTTATTCAGAAATATGAATCCTACGGATTCGAATGATATCAAATAATTGCGTGAAGTTATCGTCGCATCACCAACAAGTGCCAAAACCTGCATTTTGCCTCGTTTTTACTATAGGTCGAATCTTTTCACGTGTAGTCTCACTTTGTAGGTCCCATAAATACCTAAAAATCTTATATGTAAAGTTTATTCGTTCCTGTCAACACTGTCGATTGAATCCCAAAAAACACGTTTTCTCATTGTTTGTTGTCAAATAAAATGTTTTCCCACAAAAATTGGTGTAGCCATTTTATGCGTCCATGTTTTAAATACCCTCTTGAACAACTAGCACCACTAAACCAGACCTTACAATTATTTCGGGGAAATTTGATAATATGACTGAACTATAATGAACTTTTGCCTGAGGTTGGTAGTTTTCGAGACATAATGCCACACCTTTTTTAATAAATAAAGGAAGTAGTGGTGTGTTTCCTTTTTTTTAATTAATAAAACACGATAAATAAAGTCAAATAGACAGTCAATGCAAAGCACCTGTCTAGTGGCGTGCAAATTTAGACCCTAACACAATAAAGTGCAGAGTAGGGATGGTTAAGAGCGCCAGTAGCTCAAGACGGATTAAGCTGAAAATCCTCAAGATGTTAATTGGAACCTGGCCACCCACACAAAAGAAAAGATCTAGTAGCAACAACGTCAACTAATTATTGTACAGACAGCCAAATAAAACACAATGTATTTAAAACAATCACAATATATTAACTAATTAATTAAACCATATGTTCTATAATAATGAGTTCCACTACTGCAGTGTAAATTAAGTAAAAGGATGTCATTTAAAGTTGCACAAGAAAATGTTTAAATTGTAAGAATAAGCCTGCTAAACTCCTACCATGGTATGCGAACGGTAGACGTTTTACAAATATTACAGCGAATAACAAGAATAATTGACATAAATAATTTACAAAAAAGAAATCAATAAGGCCAGCCCAGTACCTTGAAGTTTTATTACTAACTAAAAAAACTAAAAACTAAACTTAGCTGGATTGTAGACTTCTTCCAGGCACAGTTCTAGACGCAGCCGAGATGACCTCAGCTCACAAAATCCCAGGCTTTTTGGTAAATGTCAGTGGCTAGTAGTAGACAGTGTCGAAAGGAACTTTACAAAGTATGGGCTGCTTGCCACGCATTCAAAATTTACGGAGCCCTATATAGGAATACTGCTTAAAATCTGCTCCCTATGCTTTTTAAGAAACAAAACTACTCATTAAAACACTCGTACTTGAAAAATCATGTACATTATTATAAAAAAGTAAAGCAAAGGGAAAAAAAGTAAAAATGTAATAAAGTAATATACCCTCAAAAAGTTGTCTTTTGTTCTAAAAAAGTTATGGCAGCTCAAAAATCAAAATCATGGTCAATGTAGGGGAAGGTCGGGTAAAGTGGTCACCCTAAGCCTTGAACGCATGCCAAACAAATAAATGTGAACCTTTTTCAAATCAAATTCATTATATTTTCCCACTAGCTAATATAGTTTCGATATTACATAGCTTTTAAACGATTGTTCTGATAATTTAAGCGTAATTTAATATTTAAGCCGAAATGGGATGTTGACCACTTTACCTATCCTGGTCGGGTAAATTGGCCCATACAAATTCATAATCGGGTAAAGTGGCCTACTTCAAATAAAATGATAATAAAATAAAGTTTTATTCAAATTTTGCATAGAAAAAATATTTATTGTAAGCAACAACACTATCACAATTGTTCAGGTAATTGTTTATAACTCAAAGTCTTTTGATTGTTTATACTTATAAAATTATTAAATAAATGTAACTTTCCTTCATTTAATGACAAACTAAATAAAGTTTTAATTACTAAACTATGAAATGCAAATAACAAACTCTTCATTATTCATTAACATTCAATAAAAAGAAAATATTCTCACGAACAGAATTCGCAATGAAAGACATCATCGGCGTCATCACAACCCGAGCATGCTTCATGGGCCCATCGCTTGCAGCTAGAGCACTGTATCCAGCCATCTTCATGTTTTGATTTAGACCAAACTTCCCCACAGTAAAAGCATTCAGGGTTATCATCGGCCTCATCATCAGTATCGTCACTTTTCTTAATTTTAGCATTGTTTGTATTTTTACCACGTTTTTTAACGTTGGTTTCAGCTTTAAGTTTTTTCCCAGTTTTAGTTGGTTCAAAAATAGCTTTAGTCACTCTCTTCAGTTCTTTTTTTGTTGTTGCTGTGTTTTTTCTTCCTGTAACTCATTTTTATAAGGACTACTCGTTAAAATTGCTGTACGTCCCCTCTTTCTATTTATTTTTCTAATTTTAGCCAATGCTTTGGGAATCGGAAATAAGTCTTCAGGCGCTACCGCGAAGGATGTGCTGGGTTGTAGGTCTATGTAAGGGTTCAATATTGGCGAAGTAACTGGTAGCGTTACATTAATATTTTCTTCCTGATCCAATGTTGGTGGCGTAACTGGTAGAATAGATGGAGACTCTACTCTTTCAGGTGTCTCATTCTCATTATTAGCTTCATTTTGTTGTAGTTCCTGCTCAAGAAGAATGTTATCTGTTGTGTCTGCTGGCACAAAATCATAATCTTTGAATACGTGGCGATCCATTGGTTCTACCCCACATTTACGAAATCCATTGATTGCAATGGATTGTTGTGCTGCCTCGCTGTATGCTTCGCCAAAAAGTTTGCTGAATTGGAACACAGTCAAGGCTCTTCCTGGGTTATTGCGAAGATACTTCTCAACTGCACGGATGTAATACTTATTCAAAGGACCCATAAAAGACACGTCCAAAGGTTGCAGTCTATGACTGCAGTGTGGAGGCAGACACAAGACGGTCGTGTGATTTCTTCGTGCCATATCAATGAAATCCAAATTCTTGGTATGTGAATTGTGTCCATCCAAAATTAGCAGTGCTGGATCATCTTCAGTCGGCTTGGCAAATTTAAGAAAATGCTTAAACCATGCCGTAAAAATGTCCAACTGCATCCACCCTGACGAATGACACGCAAAACCAGTTCCTGGCGGTGCTCCATCTTGAAGTTCAACCTTCATTCTCTTCCGGGGAAAGATAATAAAAGGTGGAATGAAGTTACCGCCAGCGGCCATGCAAATTACAACGGTGCTTAATACACCTCGTTCTGCAGAGGTGAAGGCACCCACCTGCTTCTTTCCCTTTTTCGCAAGTACCTTAGAACTCTTGCTCTGCACAGTGGTGAAACCAGACTCATCCACATTGAAAATGCGATGAGGTGGATAGTTTGTTTTAGACCTTACTTCTTCTAGAAGGTCAAAATATTTCGTGACACTTACTTTGTTGAAACCTTGTGCTCGGGCAAGAGAAGTTGCTTCTGGGCTTCTCAGTGTCAGTTCTGGATGACGCTTTCTAAAATCAGAAGCCCATGCTTTTCCAGCCATTTGAGTGTCTTTATTGAAGTTGTGTTTTATATTGTTGCGTTCAGCTAGTTGAAAGGCTAATTTCCTTACATCCCGCAATGTTAATCCGTAGAAACGATTCTCAAGTTCCAAAATGTGTTGTACTAATTGTACCTCTTGTACCGGACTAAAAATTGGACGTCGTGACCCCAGTATTTTAACATTTTCAACAGCATGTTTGTTTTTTCCTTGTACACGCCGTTTAAGCGTTGATCGGGGAACACCGAAGACTGTGCTAGCTTTAAGAAAGCCCATTTCCCCATTTCGTACAGCTCTAATAGCTTTTTCCATCGCTTCCGAATCCCATGTCTGCTGCTGCGTCGTCCGTGTATATCTAGTTGGCATATCTAAAATAACACAAACCATTATAAGGTTGCAGGAAAAAACACTAAAAAGGTAAAGTGGCCTACCGGGTCACTTTACCTTACCGATTTGGTAGGCCACTTTACCCGAATTGGCATGCGGCGAAGAAAAAAATAATTCAAATAACAAATGAGGTTATATTGACCTACTTTGCAGTGGAATGAATTGCTCATTTCATACACTAAACCAATAAAATCGTACATTGTTTCTCTGTGAATCTGATGACAATATATTTTTACTATGTTTAAACCACTCACCTTAGATCAAAGACCACTAAAATATATTTTTTCACAATAAAATCCTAAGACAAGCACTGATCCAGTTGATGGTCACGGAAGCAATATGGCGTCAACCAATGATATTATTCCCATATCCCGTAATAGATGGCGCTTAATGGTTCGTTTTTAAAATGAAGGTGGCCACTTTACCTGCCTGGGTCACTTTACCCGACCTTCCCCTAATGGAGGAGAGAAGGTGTCAATGCAGGTACTGCCCCATATTTGAATACGAAAAATGCTACCAGAATAAAGTACACTCTAAGGATTTCGGCCAACAATAACCTACAAATAAATATTCACAAAAGAGTTAAGTAAAATGATATTTTACCTGCTTACATCAGCGTTTTTTTAAGAAAAAGGGATGATTCTCAGCAAAATCTGCTACAAAATAGCTACAAAGCTGCAGGAGTACGGATGGTGGATTTCCTCACTGCCTTCCCACAAAAATGAAGTAGATATTGTAAAGAAACTTGACGCCCTTTGAGCCAATTTACTCTGAACATACATTAATGCACATGGTTAGATGGTATAAAAAAAGAAGTTACCACTAAAATCCCAAAAAAATGGTCGGAGCACCATCAAACAACAACCAAAACAAAGGGAAGGTAGGTAAGGAAATGGGTACTACACCGTAAACTGGTGATTGAGGCCAAACATCCTAAAACTTGGAAACCAATACACCTTCTCAACCAAGGCTCCAGCAGGAAATAACCGACACGAATTGAAGCTCTCCCCCAGTTAGGTGACTGTCAGTCAAGTAGGAGGGCGTATCAAAATTTGACACTCCACAGAAACGATACCAAATCTATATCGAAACCATGATGTGTGCCAAAAATAATTATAATTAATGAGAAATTTTTATTCCCAAACCAAACTGTCTAATATTCTGTCTAGACAGAACGATACAAAGTTTCGTCCAAAGAAAACAAAATAATCCCAAAAACCTGACAAAGGGACTCAGAAGTGAAAAAAAGTTTCACAACCCAACCTACATACAACATCGCTGATTGCCTGTGGGTACAAACATTGACAACTGATGACAGATGTGTTTGTTCAAAGAAAAACAACAATAAATAAGGTTGTTACTAAATATATCAATCTACTAAAGTAATTATCACAAACAGCATCAATTGCATAAAAATAAGGTTGTGTTATTTCCCAAGATTATGGTGTTTTATCAGGCTATCCATGTATAGATTATAAACAACGTTGCAGGTAAAAGAAATCAGTTTATTAGGAGACTTCTGGAAAAGGACGAGTTTGTCATTAATTAAATATTATGACATCAGTGTCCGAAAGATGTCAACACACACATAAAGTCGCTAACAAACAAAGATATAATATGGGTGGAATAATACTTTCAGGATTAGGTGGTTTCAAGCTCAATAGAGCAATAAATTATGAAATTTGACAAAAGAAAATCACTAAAAAGGATTTAGCCTATGAATCAGTACTTTATCATTAATAAATAGAAATTGAAATTACTGGTTCGTGATCAAAATAGAAAAAGAAAGTTATGTGATTTTATCACGCTATGTAATTTTGAAAGTGCGAAATATGCCAAATCCCGAAAAACAATACAAAGGAACGGAAAATTGATTGTTGCTAAAATTCTGAAATATTTTGCAACCACCCATTAATAAAATGCATTTCATTGGGTATTGTTATAATAAACCTTGGTTTGCGTGAGCGTCGGCTTGATTAACAAATACAAAACAAGGATTAGCTATAAAAATATTCCTAGAATTCTTCAAGTTCTTATTATTGGATATCTGAAATCGAAAACCTTTTTTGGTGAGAAATGACCCAAGATACCTAAAAGCTTTCCCTGGAGCTGAAAAGAAATTTGTACATTTTGCTTAAAAAACATCTTATCAAGTTTTGACACAGATATCGGCATGAATGAAATATGCAAAAAAGCGGATCAGAATAACCTTCTGAGGGGATGCAAAGATGCTTCCTGGACTATCAGAGTCCGGCATGAAATGTTGACTATATACTATTTTTTTATATTTCATTAACAGCTACTTCATTGTCCACTTGGCTCGATTTGGTTGATTCCTTTTATTTTTTATGATTAATGCACCCGATGTAGCTGCTAATAAGTTACCGCCTTCGATTTCTAAGACTGCAAGATAAAACGGAATGTCTGTGGACATATAGTCCTCGGTCTTGCTTGATGGCAAAACGTTGGCTATCACAAACGTTACGTCTTGAATGACGACTTGCTAGACAAGCAAATCGGACGATCTGTATCTGCGTGACTATGGGATCTGTAAAGGGATGCCAGTATTGAATAACAAAATCATTTTCAAAATACGACAAAAAAAACAGAAAGCAGGTATAGCAGCATAGCATCTTCAACTACAGAGATCGTTTTTTGCGTAGTGAACCAAATTTCTCTCTTACACTGAGGAATCAATAACAATGAAATAACAACGTTCCAAGAAGACAGATACTACATTCCGTGCAATGCCCTATTCAATGGTTCATGACGTAAACCCATAACGATGTGTGTTCAAGTCCATGAAGTACCATATAGTGGTTTGGGTCTTATGGACTTGTGAACCATGAAGTAAATCGCATTTTAAATTTAACCAATTCAAATTTTCTACCGGTTGATTGATATCATGTTTCAAGCGAAATACGTAAGACTCCAATTTTTCACTGTTGTCGGCCCGACTGTGAGAAAGCGTTTTCCATAAGCCTGCGGTCATGGCCTCCACTCAAATTTATAGTTTTTCCTTTATCTGGTGAGTAACGGCCGACCAATAATGCTAGCTATACTGGACGCATTTTTTACGTAGCCTTTTCTCACCCCCATATGAGAGCCGAACACCCCTCCACCCACCTCTCATCGCCACCTTTGATGATCTTCCATTAATATCTTGAATGGGCCTCATTTAGGCTAAGTGTACGCTGATTAATTGCTGACTGGTGATGTGTTGTTTGACCAGTGGCGTTTTTGAGAAGGTAGCGTTAAAGGTGATGTAAACGTAGAAGGGTTTAAGGAATGAATATCTATCTTACCTT